TCAATCGGTTAAGCGTCTGACTTCAGCTCAGGTCATGACCTCACCGTTCGAGAGTTTGAGCCCCGTGTCAGGCTCTGGGCTGACAGCTGGGAGCCTGGAGCCTGCTTCAGATTTGGTGTCTCCTTCTCTCTCTTACCTCCCTCGCTCTCTCTCTCTCTCTCAAAAATAAATAAACATTAAAGAAAATTTATAGTCAATAAGACATTAAGGACAGCGACAGTTGAATTAGAACATCAGGTAGTGCTGATACTGAAAACTGAACATAAATTGGGATATTTCAATGTGCTGTAATGGTAAAAAAAGATTTCCTCTAAAAATAATTTATCCCATACAGATAGCCCCTACAAAATATGGAACTGTGAAATTGTAGTCCTATATTTTCCATTTACTTGCCAATTTTAACTTTAAGAAACCTCTGTGACTCAAATAAGCAAGCTGTGTAAACCAATGTGGAAATGCAAGATCTTTGAGATGAGCAGAGAAAATTTACTCAGAAATGGAGCAGGATGTCTCTCTCAAAAACACTCGGAGTGTGACTCAGCAGAGGGAGAAAACACAGGTCCTATGGAAGAGCCAGAAACAGAAAACAGTGGGGCAGCCCTGTTCACTGCACTGCCTGACATTGTAAGCCATTGTGGACGGTAGGCAGATCTTTATCTGGCTTGATGTCACGTTTCCCTGGGTTTAGGTTGTATGGAAAAATAGTTTTTGTGCTGAAAAAGATTATTAGAAAAAGTCCAAGAAATTGTTAATTGTAACCCACATTCTGCCTTTCAGCCAGTTGCTGATAGCACACATGTAAGGCTGGCTAAAGTGCAACAAAAATTGCCTGGCTGCTGCTACCACCTCTGCTACTATTGGGAGATTGTCACACTCCATAGCCTGCAATCCCAAGTATGTGGAGCTGACTCAGAGATGAGTTGCACAGAGTTAAGAAGAAAAGTTGGACTTAACTACCATGGAGTTCAGCATATTCGGTCCAGCTTATACCTAACCAAGCCTCTTTGGGGATAAATACTTCTTTGAAGCACTGATTTCTTGTCTCCTTTTCTGGCAGCTCCTACTGCTGGATCAGATTGAATTTGATGTATGCTTCCGGGCCACCCAAGGAAGTCAGTTTGAAATTCTGTTCTCAGAATTTCTCCCTTCTGAAATCTCTACCTAAGTTTAAAATTTTTGTTCTGAGGGGTTCACTAGTTTTACTTGAGCTTTATTCAATGATTAAAGACATCTTAAATATAAATGGTTAAATTTTTTATTGTTTATTTACATGATTATTACATGCTTATAATTACATTAGAAAATACAGAAAAGAAAAAATAGTCACCATCTGTAATTATACCTCTAAATATATAAGCTTTATTTAAAGTGCAAATAAAAATATATACAATCTTCAGGGTGCCTGGGTGGCTTAGTCGGTTAAGCATCCAACTCTTTATCTCAGCTCAGGTCATGATCTCACGGATTTGTGAGATTGGGCCCTGAGACCGGCTCTGTGCTGACAGTGTGGAGCCTGCTTGGGATTCTTTCTCTCCCCGTCTCTCTCTCTGCCCCTCCCCCCGCAAAGAAATAAATATACATTTAAAAATAAATAAATAATTAATTAAATAAACATTAAAAAATATATACACTCTTTGAGATTGTTTTCAAATAACAAACAATAAAGTAATAATTGAGTGTATTACGCAAAAATACTCATTGCGGAGTATTACATTTGTAGAGTGTATTTGTTTTTTTTTTTTTGATAGACTGTATTTGTTAATGTGAAATTACTAAATCCTGTTCTCTTTTGTATTGTACAAATATTTCCAAACCACTGTCATGAGAATTTCTCAATTCACTATTAAGATCAGCAAATTTTCTGTCATTTGCAAACAGAGAGTCTACACTGATTGTACTAACTACTGAATAGGAGGTGAGGAAGATGTAGCTCTGTCCATTCCCACGTCTCAGACAAGTGGACTGGGTGCGTGGTCACCTGCTAGATGATGAGAGGGAAGCAGCTGATGGTCTCTTCTCTCCTCTGCTCCAGTCGGCATTGGCCTGGGCCCGAGCCTCTGCTCGCTGCCTGAATTTTAACAGCACGCTGATCCTGCTTCCTGTGTGTCGAAATCTGCTGTCTTTCCTGAGGGGCACCTGCTCAGTGAGTCCCAGGCACTCGTAGGTCAATGTTCACACTAAAGACAAGAGATCCTGAACTCCTCAGTAGGATGACCTAATATCAAACCCCTAGGAATGGAAGCCAAGGGTCTCCTTTGGTAGCCAAGGAGGGAGGTAAGGTTGGGTGGGTATAGGTATGCTTTGTTTAAGACATTTTGGTTATGGGTTACTGAATTTTATAAAGCTGCCTGCCCCGTTCATGCTCTGTCTCTCTCTGTCCCAAAAATAAATAAACGTCGAAAAAAAAAATTAAAAAAAAAAAAAAAAAAAGGGGCGCCTGGGTGGCGCAGTCGGTTAAGCGTCCGACTTCAGCCAGGTCACGATCTCGCGGTCCGTGAGTTCGAGCCCCGCATCGGGCTCTGGGCTGATGGCTCGGAGCCTGGAGCCTGTTTCCGATTCTGTGTCTCCCTCTCTCTCTGCCCCTCGCCCGTTCATGCTCTGTCTCTCTCTGTCCCAAAAATAAATAAACGTCGAAAAAAAAAATTTTTTTAAAAAAGCTGCCTGCAGACATCAGACCTTGATCACTTCCCATTTGTAGTTTTGCAGGCATGCCCTGAGAAAGCAACTGGATCACAATCTCGCCTTCCACAAACTGGTAGCATATATGATCTGCCTACACACAGGTAACTGAGGCAAACCACAAAACTGCAAGGTCACAGGCATTCAGAGTGTAGTTTCATTTATCTATGCATTTAGACATTCAAAAAGTGTTTATCGAAAACCTGGCACTACTTGCCACACACCATTGTAGGCCTATTTTCATGGAACTTACATTCGATTCTTTTGGTAACAGAATGAGTATAAAAAAATATTGGTTCTCTTTGCAGTCAAGATTTATTGGGCACCTTCTGTAGACTCGGCATTCTGCTAGACACTATATATAGGATTCTCCTTTTCTAGTAGGGCATGCCTGCCATAATGTTTCTGAGACACTTTTCAATTCCCTTTCATCTTTCCATTTAGCTATTCATATCATTGCACACCTGTTCAACTTTGAACACTACAGCAGAAGCCGATGGGCCACAGATGGATCCCTTGCTTCCATTCTCTCCACCCTATCTCAACAAGAGAGAGATGAAGATTCTTGGATAAATCCTATCCAGTCCCCAAACATGGTGAGTTGACTCAATGGCAAAGCATCTGGAATCTGGTCATGAGCAGGAAGGGCATGGTATGCTTGGTATACATTGTGTTAAGTTGAAATTTCTTCTTTCATAGACAGTGGAGTATGTGACATTTACCAGCATCACTGGTGTCACTGGAGTGATCATCACAATAGCTCTGGTTCTCATGGTGACTTCAGCTATGGAGTTTATCCGGAGGAGTTATTTTGAGGTCTTCTGGTATACTCATCATATTTTTATCGTCTACTTCATTGGTTTAGGGATTCACGGCATTGGGTAAGGACTTCAAACCCTCATTCTCATGCCCCAGCCCCTGGCCTTGCATAATTCTTTGTCCCAAACTGTCCTTCTTTGTCCGTCTCAGTGGAATTGTCCGGGGTCAAACAGAAGAGAGCCTGAATGAGAGTCACCCACACAGGTGTGCAGAATTTTTCGAGCAGTGGGATGATCATGACTCCCACTGCAAGCATCCCCGATTTGAAGGGCTCCCTGCTGAGGTAAGAAGCCCACCGACAGGGACAGACTCCTGTCAGGAGCTGTTATTGTTATTGTTGTTATTATTACTCTTATTGTTACCATTATTAGCTCAGCACTGTGCTGGATCTTCTGGAGGATATATTTTCAAGGTTCCTACCACCAAGGAACTCCAATATCAATGACAACAGGCTAGGGAGTTATCATTAGCAGGGGATCCTGAAGAGAAAGAACTAATGGTTATTGCATGTTGTGAGACCCTCTCCAAAGGTAATAATGATAGCTCACATTATTATTGTTGTTATTATTACTATTACTAAAATGTTTTTTTGTTTATTTATCTATTTATTTAGAGAGCACAGGTGGGGGAGGGGCAGAGAGAGAGAGAGCACAAGCAGGGGAGGGGCATAGAGAGAGTGAGATACAGAATCCCAAGCAGGCTCCAGGCTCTGAGCTGTTAGCACAGAGCCTGATGCAGAGCTCGAACCCATGAACTGCGAGATCATGACCTGAGCCGAAGTCAGACCCTTAACCAATTGAACCACCCAGATGCCCTGATAGCTCTATTATTAATAGTGTTTGCCATATGACAGGTTTGCTGTGTAATATGGATTGTCTCATTTATACATAGCAATAATCTATGAGGTAAGTACGTTTTTTGTCTCCATTGTGAGATGATAGGACTATGATTCAAAGAGATTAAACTGCCAAGCTCCTACAGTAAGTAACTAGTGGAACTGGAATTCAAGCCCAAGCCTTTTAGATTCCAAAGAATGTGCTCTCGAACACTGTACTGTACCAAAGATTAGCTGTGAAATCAAGTCAATTTTCTTGAGTGGGGGCAAGCATTCTTTTTTCCCAGATTTTTTGAAGTACAATTGGCAAATAAAATTGTATATATTTGAAGTGTACAATGTGATGAATGATACATGCATATTTTGTGAAATGATCACCCTAATGCGATTAATTAACACATCCATCACTTCACGTAGTTACCAATTTTTTGGTAGTGATAATGCTTAAAATCTACTCTTTCAGCACATTTCAAGTATGCTATCCACTATTATCAACTATAGTCACCATGCTTTACATTGGATCCCCAGAGCTTATTCATCTTATGACTGAAGGCACATACCCTTTTACCAACATCTTTCTAACACTCCCCGACCCCCTTCCCCAGGCCCTGGTTAATCACCTTCCTAGTGTCTGTTTCTGTGAGTTTAACTTTTTTAAAAAGCATTCTTTTAAAAAAAAAATTTAATGTTTATTTTTGAGAGACAGAGAGAGACACA